CCTCCCCACTAGAACTAAGGCCCACGCCAGCCAGCAGGCCACCTAACTTTCTAGAATCTGTTTTCTTACCTGTGAAATGGCAGCAGCTGCCTCTGACCCACAGAGTGGTGCCCAGGCCTAAATGAGGTCACGTGTGAAGAGCATGTAGCTCAGAGCCTGTTACTGCTCGATAAACATGAAGACTTGTTCGCATTACTTGTATTTATGAAGACACAAGCAGAGCATGAGAAAGTCAGTACACAAGAGAAAAAGAACAGAGAGAGACTTGACTACATAGGTTGCACTTAATAAGAAGCAAAATCAAAAGGCAAATAGGACTCAAAGAATGGTTCTAAACTAAAAAGCAGCAAGATTTTATTTATTTATTTATTTAATCCTCACCTGAGGTCACTTTTTTGGCATTTATCTTCAGATAGAGCAGGAAGGAGAGAGAGGGGAAGAGAGAGAGAGAGACACACACATCGAGCAGCTGCCACCCACACGACCCAACCAGGGCCGGGGACAAACCGCAACCGAGGCATGTGCCCGTAGCGGGAACCGAACCCGGGAGCCAAACCGGCCAGGGCGAAAGCAGCAAGATTTTTAGAAACTGTGACGATGATGATGAGAATAATAATTGTACGATTTACATCATGCTGAATTCTTGTCAGAGCCTCGGTAAACCACTGACTCCCCCTGACAGAGCATCAACAGCATATGGGCCACAGCAGAGCAGGTTAGTCCAACTGGTCTAGAGGACAGTTTTACTACCTTCCACTTCCAGGCATTTGTCCTAGAGATAGATGAATACGTGAGCAAAGATTCACATGAAAAAATGTTTTTAAGTATCAATGCTTTTTGTTTTTTATCCTCACCCAAGGACATTTTTTCATTTTTTGTTCAGATAGAGTGGGAGGGAGAGAGAGGAAGAGAGAAACATCGATGTGAAAGGGACACATCGAGTGGCTGCCTCCCGCACGACCAACCAGGGCCGGGGACAAACTGCAACCAAGGTACGTGCCCTTAACAGGAACCGAACCCGGGTCTCTCTGGACCACAGGCCGATACTCTAACCGCTGAGCCAAACCGGTCAGGGCAGTATCGATGTTTTGATGTTTAACCAAAGGGACAGGTTACCGATCTGGTTTACCCATACAACATAACTGTATTCACCCCTGCAAAAAAATAATACAGATTTCTACTGAGAGAAAGATGGTTTTGATATAGTACTGAGTAAAGAAGGAATGTAAAAGCAGTATGTGTAGTGTGATTCTACTTTAAAAGTGTGTATTTACATATACAGCTGACCCTTGAACTGTGATGGCCCACTAATACACACATTTTTTTTTCAATTACGTACTATACATTTATTTTTTTCTCCCTTATGATTTTCTTAACAGTTTTTCTCTAGATTACTTTATTGTAAGAATATAGTATATATATGTTCTGGCTAGTGTGGCTCAATTGGTTGGGCACTGTCCTGTGCCCAAAGGGTTGTGGGTTTGATTCCTAGTCAGGGTACCTGCCCAGGTTGTGGGCTCAATCCCCAACTGGAGCATGCAGGAGGCAGCCAATCAATGTTGCGCTCTCATATCAATGTTTCTCTCCCCTCCCCCCTCTCTAAAAATCAATAAATTATTCTTTAAAAAATATAGTATATAAAACCAAAATACATTAATTGACTGTCCATGTTAGCAGTAAAGCTTCAGGTCAACAGTAGGCTATTAGAAGTTAAGTTTTGAGGGAGTTAAAAGTTATACATGAATTTATGACTGCATGCGGGAGGGTCGATGCCCCTAACCCCTGCATTGTTCAAGGGTCAACTGTGTATTATACACCAAATGTTAAGAGTGGTTTTCTCTGGGTAATGGGATTTTGGATGATTTGTTTATATATAAACACACATAGAGAAATTTTTATTTATGTGCAGTTTCTAATTTTTCTAGTATGGGCGGCTCCTTTGACATTCCTTCCTCAAAATGATCACTATAATTGTACTAAGTTTATAAGTACTCCTCCCTGGTCCAGAAGGGTGATACTGACTGTAATCTAGCTTTGCCCACAGGAAAAGAAATGCTCCAAGGAGCACTGGGCTGTTTACTTGTTTTCCTCTCATAAGATGGTGTTATGGTCTTTCCATCACTCTCGTATGAGTTTGGTAGCATGAGTTGGTTCTCTGTACCAGGTCACTTCCCAGTGTTCTAGTAAAACTGAGGGTCTAGACCTGTCGCTGGAACATAAAGGCCATCCAAGGTAGTTCTAGCCTTGGAAACCCTACCTGGAGAGCCAATAGGTCACCTGGCAGATGAGGACAGGTAAGAAAATCCCAAGAGACACACAATAAACCTGAGACTGATGAGGTTACAGGGCTTGCTCAAGACCGTTAGCCAGAGCCAGCACCAGAAGTACAGCCCAGGCCACCAACTTGTCACCTAGCCATCTCCTCCAGCCCTCAGGGCTGCCTCCCAGGCAGGACAGGACTCAGGAGCTTGGTTCTGTGTTCTGTTGGCACAGAAGGAGGAAGCACAGACAGGACAGAATGAGGAGTGAGGGATGGAAAAGCAGATACAGCTGCACCCACCAGTGAATAAACAAGTCATCTGCACCTGCTAGACAGGCAGGCCTTGGTAACTAAAAGGCAGGCTAATTTTAGAAATGCAGTGAGTCTAAACAACCATCACACAGACAACCAAAACGGAGTCCTGAAAAGAAGAGATCCTTACCTCTGCCTCTGTGAAGCTGACACAAAATGGACAGTCTTCGGACTGACTCTATTTTAATCAGTTATCTGAGATGAAGACAGAGTCTCCTGATCCAGGAAAAAGTGCAAGGCCTTTAAGTGCAGCCAAGCCACATGGCCATTACACAGTCCCTGCTGCCCAGTTGGAAGAGTCTCATTTCAGACACAAATGCCTGCTGGCCTCGCTGGCCCAGGGGAGGAGCTCAGCCTGCCCAGGCCTTGCCCGAGTCCCCGAGTCCTGTATACTCCCAAGAGCACGGCTTTGCCTTTCTGCCTTCACGTGCTCAGAGCTCCTGTACACACCTGAATATATGCTAGAGCCTCTCTCATTTCCCCTCAGAACAGTGAGGGCCCGGTCTCCACATCATTTCAATTCCTAATTTTACAGGGCAATCTCAATTCTTTGGAACAAAGTACAGATGGGTGAAGAACAGCAGTTGTAACCTTAGTGGCGGTGCGGCATGCTTCTAGAGCTCACCTGGATGGAATCAGTACCAAAAAAAAAAAAAAGCCAAAAACCAGCAAACATGTAGCAGAGAAGTAATATTATTCCTGGCATGAGACCCCTAATTGCAATGGTTGGATGTTGCCACAGACACCCTTTTTCCAAGGGCACATAGTAAGGTGTGTGACAGGACTGATGAAAAACACCCGAGGAGAACAGAACAGCCCAGTGGATGAGCCCCAGTAGTAGGGGGTGCTCAGCCGACTTGCACTGCCAATCACATGGGACTGGCGTCTGTGACAAGGACATGAAGTCCACAAAGGTGAGAGGGAAGAGTGGGAACAAATCTAATTAGCATTTTTAATTATGTTACATGAAATAGCATATGGAAGTTGAACTAAATTCACATCACTCTAAATGGACATCTGACCTGAAGAGTTTACTCCTGTCAGCTGGGATAGAAGAGCTATTTTGGATCTTCTCCTTGGAAAAACTGGAGCTAATGTTGTATCTGGGACTGCCTTATTTTTAGCCATGTGTATACTGTTCTATGACATCAGGAGACCACCTTTCAGGCCGGAAACAGTCATTAGAAATCACAAGGTCCAAAGTCTCAGCTGACATTAGTTTTGAAACATTTACTAAGCACCCTCCAAAGGCAAGACCAGGTGCAGTGCTGGGATAACAGTGGGCAAGGCAAGCACCCTCCCGCTGCTCCCTGGCTAAAAGAGCTGTCCGCAGTCACACCCAGTGCCCCTCCCACTGCACCTATCTCTATCCGCCTTGTCTCTTTTTTCACACATTCACCAAAGTGTTTTTCAAAATATGCTTGAGCAGGATTTTACACTCCCAACAAAGTGCTTTGCACAGTGGAATTCTATCATGTGAGTTTACATGGATTTCATGCACCCAGAACAAAAGGAGAAAGCAGCCCTGAAATGATCTGACCAGTCGCCACTTTGACCTCGGTGAGCGCGGGCTAAGAAGGGAATGAACTCAGGAGTGCGCAGCTATCTCCTCAAGGCAAACAGCAGCGCCGCTGAGCTCGCGGGCCACTCAGACTTTACTGGGTAGAACCAACTGCCTTTAGAACCTAAATGTTCATTTGGGAATTCAACTCCATTCCAAACTGTATTTCCCACACTTGGAGAGATGAAGCACAAACAGACTGTGCTCCCCACACCTCGGGACTTCACTAACATCTGCCTTAACAGACCTTACACAGGGGGTGGGGGCTTTTAAAACATAGCAATAGGTCAACTAGAGTACATCAGGTAGTGATGCTCGAGCGGAGGAACAAAGAACAGGAAAAGGGGTGCAGCGGCTGCTGTTTAAGTGGGGGGGGTTCTCTAAGCAGGGAACGCTCAGGCGAAGATGAGGCAGAGGTGAGAAGCAAGCCATGTGCACAGCTGTGGAAAGGTCCAGGCAAAGAGAGGCTAAGTGCAGAGGCCTGTGTGGGGCACTGAGGAGGCCTCAGGGACTGGTGGGCCCCACTCAGCCTCCATGCCTGGGCCAACAGAGTGGCTGCCAGGAGAGTGAGGAGTGCGCCAGGTCCTCAGTGACTGAAGACATCCACCTTTACACCGAGTGAGGGCCTGAGAATCAGGTTGATCCTCGTTGCTCCACATCCTGCACTATGCCTGGTGTGTGAACATGGGTCTCCATAAGTCCTGATCCCAATAGGTGACTGCTGGAGGTGGAGAAGCCTGCCGTGCTTGGCCCCCACCCACAGCAGGCACAGCTTCTTTTAGGCCAGTTTGACTGGGGCTACACTTGGGGCGAATGGGTCACAGCGTGCTCCCCAGGCAAAGCAGGTACACATACATGTAACCTTACCTGTCTACATGGGACAGACACTGCGGCCTGAGCTTCAGGCAGGCTGGCGTATGGAAGAGGGAGCGAGGGTCTGAGCGCTGAGAGGTGGTCACATGGTCACATAATCACGGGAGGCCTTCTGCCTGGAGAAGCACAGAATCCTCGTTCTGAGATAAACCACTTTTATTCAGCAGAGCGCCCACTACCCATTTGTTTTTTCTTTCTTTTAAGTGACTGACCATCTACTTGAAAAGACTCATGATTCCTGACTCCTTAATTCAACAACATTCCATGGAGGTCACTCACCTGTGGTCCCAGCTCTCAGGCCGCATCCAGTGGAAAGCCAGCCCACACTTGAAAATATACAAAAGATACTCAGCAAAACTCCAATGAGAATCTGTGACAGCAGGTGCTCCAGGTGAGACAAGGGGTGCTAGTTAGCCTCCACGCCTGGGCCAACAGAATGACTAAGAATGGGGGGGGGGTAGAGAAAGCTGTGGTGAGGGGCCCAGCCTCCCCAGCCAGATCGGCAGCTCCTGCAGGGCAGGGGCAGTGCTTGGGGCCACCCCTCCACAGCCCCAGGTAGCACATCACAAGGAACACAGCCTCGCTGGTGCTCTGGGCAGGAGCTCGCCTCCCCATCTCGGGTACCCCATTTCAGTTAGCAGCACTCCAGTCACCAAGACAATGTCTGAGTGGCCTTCCAGACTTTTCTCTGCACCTTAATCCTTGACCTGTCAGCAAGTATTGCTAATGCCATGGCTCAAAAAAGCTCTCAGACCCACTATCTCATCTACTGGCCAGGTTTAAGAGAAAAGTCTGGACTTGGCCCTGTGTTCCAGATCTCTCTACCACGTTGTAGTCTCTAGCCTCCTCAGACTGTAATTTGCCCTTCTCCAAACCAAACCCCGCCCTGCCCCCACCAATGGACCCCTCCACAGATCATTCTGAGCCGCCAAACACCCTCCCACCTGCTATCCAGCAAACCTGATCCTTCCCCATAACTCTCAGCCAGGGAGTGTTTTGTCCCACCAGAGAACACTGGGACTCTCCCACTTGTATCAGCACATGGCACAGGGTTGTTAAATAAGCAAATCTGTGAGGTTTGGGGTTAATTTAAATTAACTAGGCTTCCCATGCAATTATTCCTAACCCAAATGCCCACCCCTCCCCCCTACAGCCACAGGGCCAGAACACAGCCTCAGCTGAGTGCAGTCCATGCTTCCTGATTAAAGTGCTTTTATGGCCAAAAATCCAGACAGGAAAAAAATAAACAAAAAAAAACCTTTCTTGAGTCACGGTCAACTCCATGGAGCAGTTTTCACATTTCCCTCAGCCCCTACTGTTTCAGAAGGGCTGGGTCTGGAGCCCTGCTCTCCACTATTCAGCAGCCTTGGGCAAGTCACTCAGCAGCTGACTGCTCCCTGCCTGTGCTCTCTCCTGGGCCCCTGTGATGACAACCCAGGGGACAGCACTGCCAAGTGGGTACAAAGCACATACAAAGAGGGCACACTGCAGACCTGGCTGGTTTGGCTCAGTGGTTAGAGCGCTGGCCCGTGGACCAATGAGTCGCGGGTTCGATTCCGGTCAAGGGCATGTACCTCAGCTGTGATTTGTCCCTGGCCCTGGTAGGGGGTCATACAGGAGGCAGCCACTTGATGTGTCCCTTTCATGTCGATGTGTCTCTCTTTCTCTCTACCCCTCCCAATCTATCTGAAAAAAAAAAAAGTGGAAAAATGTCCTCGGGTGAGAATAAAAAAATAAATTAAAAAACAAAACAAAAACAAAGAGGGCATACCGCAAACAAAATTTCATTCCCTGCCATTTCCCCAGCTTGTAAATTGTGTAAGGCTACTTAATGCCAATTAAAACTGGACAATCATATTTCACTTCTTCCTGAATTAATAAGGGGTTAGGATTCCCCTTAGACCTTGCCAGGGGAAACGCATCCATGCTTCTCTACCACCTTCCATGGCCTCTAGCTCTCCTTAAAGGAAAAACGCAGACACTGGAATAGATCTGAATTCATAATGAACCAACACGTATTGAACACATTATGTATCTAGCATGTTCAGTTTCTACTGGACCCTCATGACACCTCCTTGTGGTAAAAATAGATGGTTGTGGATCACCCAGTAGACAGACACGCAGTAGCTCATAGCACCCACAGATCAGGAGCACAAAAAAGGTGATGAGAACTGTCTTCTGGAAAAATTGTGTGACCAGAAACACATCGTAACTGCTTTCCTAGAAAGAATCAGAATGTTACTGACGTCCTTACCCTACACTGCATGGTTTTGAACTTTGTCTAATATTAGGGGACCCTAGTCTTTGCAGCACATACAGAGGATACAGGCCTTCATCAGGCCTGGGTGTTGCTTTTCACCTATCACAGACATAGCAAATGAGGCTCTGGGAGGAAACACGCCTGTCACACAGCTCGGAAATAACAGAAGGCTCTCTCCAGAACAGTCTGCCTAATCTGGGCAGTTCTGGTCCCAGGACTCCACCATTATCACCAGAGCCTGTGACTCACAGAGTATCAGCAAGGGGGCAGGTCTGCAGGCTCAGGAGTGACCATATCTGCATATACCTAGGTGCATGGCCCTCTCAGGGGGAGGGGTTCTGACATAGGCCCAGCACCCTCTCCTCTGCAGCACTAAATTACAATACAGGAAGTTGTCTTCCCAAGAATTCTCTGGGAGAGTCCTGATTGTGTAGAGGAGACAGAAGCCCTTTGTGGGGTCCTAGAAACCAGCACATTTCTTTCTTTTCTTTTCTTCTTTTTCTTTATTGATGTTAGAGAGAAAGGAAGGGAGATAGAAACATCGATGAGGGAGAACATCGATTGGCCGCCTCCTGCATGCTCCCCACTGGGGATCGGGCCCATAACCTGGGCATGTGCCCTGACTGGGAATCAAACTGGCAACCTCTTGGTGCATGGGTGGACGCTCAACCACTGAGCCACATCAGCTGGGTGAAACCAGCAATTTCCATTCTGTGAATTCCATTTCAGAGTCCCCTCATGGGGGCACAATAAACCTCACGCCACCACTGCTGGCCTGGCTCTCCTCTCTCCTCCCACTAAGGACCAGTATTTTCCGTAGGAGTTCCCATCTCTTACTACCTGCAAGACTTCCTTCCTCCATGTAAGGGAAACATCAATATAAGATGCCATAACTTTAAGAGCCATACTTCTGTGTCATCTATGAGTAAAAATATGTTTCTGAAAGTGGAGATGAATTTTCACAGGACCTGTCTCTTGAAGAGGATTAGGGGTTGGTGCCTGTGGCTATAGAACAAAGTACCTGGGCCCAAGGGACTCAAAGCTCATCAACTGGGCTGTGCAGCCCTGTTCCCCCTAGAGCTTTAGAAAATATACCAAAGCAGCCCTGTCCAGTTTGTCTCAGCAGTTAGAGCGTTGGCCCAGAGCCAAAGAGTCTCGCGTTAGATTCCGGTCAAGGACATGTACTTCAGTTGTGGTTCCCGGGGTCGTGTGGGAGGCAGCTAGTCGATGTGTCTCTCTCACGACGATGTTTCTTTCTCTCTCTCTCCCCCTCCCTCCCACTCTATCTGAGGATAAACAGAAAAATATCCTCATGTGAAGATTAAAAACAAAAACAAAAAGAAAAGAAAACATACCAAACCAGAAGGTTCCCCATTGGGCAAGCTTATAATGTAAAGAGTAGAAACAGCATGCAAGCTGACGACATAAATCAATTACTGCCAACGTGATCTGCTGGGGCAACCTGGCCATCAGGGCACATACCATTAGCTCCCCCTCAAAACAGTTTTGGTCCCTGAAGTATTATTCTATGTCACACAATCCATGTTTCTGCTCTTCGAATAATTTAAAACTGCTGTTCTAGCCCTGGCCGGTTTGGCTCAGCGCTTAGAGCATTGGCCCGCAGACTGGAGAGTCCCAGGTTCGGTTCCCGCTAAGGGCGCATACCTTGGTTGTGGTTTGGCCCCGGCCCAGCCCCGGTTGGGGTCATGTGGGTGGCAACCAGTCCACATTTCTCTCTCTCTTCCTCCCTCTCTCCCTCCAGCTCTATCTGAAGATAAATGCAAAAATGTCCTCCGCTGAGGATAAAAAAACAAAAGAACCTGCTGTTTTAAAATCTTTGTAAGAGTCCACGTAAAACTCTTTCCCGGTTCCAGAGGCCTATTCACGGAAAAACCTCCAGCTCCTCTAGGATGGGAGACAGACAGACTTTCAAATACCCAGGGCTTATGTTAGTTAAAAAACAATAAGCAAGAAGAATTCCAAGACTGCTTAATTATAAACATGATTAACTATTTGACAGGACACTAGACTGATATTTGCAACTTTGACACACACATAAAAAAAAAAAAAAAAAGATGGACTTTGGATGGTTTGATTTGTGATAAAATATGGTAAAATGTTATATATTCTAGATGGTGTTCTATGAGTATTAACTGTAAAATTTCTTCAACTTTTCTACGTTTGAAATTTTTCACAATTAAATGTGGGGCAGAGAGCAAGGCAGAGCTGGTATACCTCTCCCCACCCAACTCTTAGGTCAGGCCTGAGAAAAGAAATAAAGCACCAATACACACTTACTTATGCACTGCCCAACAGCAGGCCCCAAATACATACAAAATTGGTATAAATGCTATGCCGCAGGCTCTCCATCTTCCTCACTCTAGGACAGAGGTTCTCAGCCTCAAGTGGGCCTGAAGATTATCTGGGGAGCTTGTTAAACAGAGAATCCTGGACCACATCCCATAACTGCTGAATGAGAACCTCTAGTAGTGGGCCCCGGGACTCTCTCTTCTAACATGGGCCCGGGGGATTCTGATGCAGAGGATCTTAAGTCCACACTCGGAGAAACTTACAGCTGCTTGCTCCTTACCCGTCACCTGTTGTGAGGCCTCCTGGGCACATTTAGAGGAAAACAGAAACACACACACACACCCGTAGACAAGTCAAGTGCCCAAACCCGGGCTCGCATGACGCGTGAGTTCAACTGTACCAAGATCCTGGATAGCATGAAGGTGGGCCCAAAGCCAGGCCAGGTCACTGCCTCCCAACCTGGCCCAGGCCAAGGGTGGGCGCAGGGGTTTACTGATGTTAGTGCGCCTCAGCGGGCAGGGAGGGAGAGCAAGGTCACAAAGGCGCTCAGCTGGGACTTCTTCGTCGCCGGGACCCTCCTTCCTCACAATCCCCTTTCCTTGAGAAAACAGCACGGCAGAAAACCGGTCATGGTATTTCCCCCACCGTCCCTACACAGGATGTGGGAGCTGTGATAAGCGGACACGGAGAAACAGTCGGCAGTCCGGGAGATAACGAGTCCCTGCGCCCGCCCCGGCCTGGCTAAGCTGTCACTGCAGCCCCGCGGGTGGCCGGCCAACCCAGGGACAGTACGACGTCAAAATCCCGAGAACCGCTCTGGATCGCATCAGCGTCCTGGGAGCAGGCGATGGACCCGCTCCGCCGACCCCGGGGTTTCTTTACCTCGAGAGGCCGGGCGCCCAAGGTCGAGACACGCTGAGACTGGTCGAGTCCAACGTTCCGAGGCCCAGACCCTCAGCCCCACGGGGCTCTTGCGCACACCGCCCCCCGCCCGCCCAAAGGTCTCTGGGAGACGTAGTCCATCCGTGCGCCCGAGGCGCAACCGGCGCACAGGGGGGACTACAGTGTCCACCATGCAATGCATGAACGCAGCGGGCACGGGCAGCAAGGGGCTCTGCGGCCCGAGGTCATCCCTTCCCCCAGGGTCATGAGCGCCCAGCTCTGCTTGCTAGGGCTCTGGGGGAAGCTGATCAGAGTGGCCGAGGCGACTCACCGTTTCCCTGGCACTGTGGCGGCCGCAGCAGCAGAAAGACCACCTGCACAGCTCGTAGGCGTGCGCGCGTCCCTAAAAAGCAGGCAGGGTTTGGAGCAGGGCCCAGGCTTGTGGCTTCACGGGAGGGGCGGCACCGTGAGGTCACTGTGTGGGCGGGCCGGGGACGACACGTGCCAAGCCCTGGTGATGTCAAGTCGAGTGGAAACGCTTGGCGCGCAAGAGGCACTTGGGGGGTGCCTAGGGGCCCTCTACTCCAGCGGGAGAATGACTCCAACGTAGGGGAAGCACCCTATTAGCGTCCCCTCTCGTCCACGCCAGCACCAGGGCCTCCATCAGAGGAAGCGCACCTTCCTTTCTCCTGGTTGTAGTTGAGTCTTGGCGCTCTACATTCTGTAGAAATACATAGAATGGGAAAGATTTTTGTTGCCTGCTGTGCACTTTTCCAGATGAGATTAGTAAGGCAACACTTATTGTTTAAGCTCTAATACTGGAAACAGGTGACCTTTTTGTGTATGTTTAATGCCATGTTTTTCTCATAGGCTTTTTGGTTGGTGATTTTGCTGTTTAAAATGGCTCCCGCCCTCGCTGGATGGCTCAGTTGGTTGGAGCGTCCTCCCCTACACCAAAAAGGTTGTGGGCTCAATCCCAGTCAGGGCACATATCTAGGTTGTGGGTTCCATCCCTGGGCCTGGCACTATGTGGGAGGTGACCCATTAATGTTTCTCTCCCTCTCTCCCCCTTCCTCTCTCTCTAAAAATAAATAAAAACATATCCTGGGGTGAGGATTAAAAAAAAAAAAGGGCTCTCAAGCATAATGCTAAAGCACTGCCCAGTGTTCCTAAGTGCAAGAAGGCTGTGATGTGCTTTACAGATTAAATGGGTGTGTTAGATAAGCTTCCTGCTGGCTCGAGTTATATTGAGTTCATTGTTACTGAATCAGCAATAGATATTAAACTGGTGTCTAAGTAGAAACCCTCATAAAACATAGTTATGCATTGATCCATATGCAAGTGTGACCAGAGTCAGGCAAGAACCTTACCCTGTATTTCCCCAGGAGCAGTGGTTCAATATTCACTAATTCAGTGTTTGTGGTACACGTATGGGCCATAACCACTAATAATGAGACTCAACTGTATTTTATTCTATTGGTGTTTTAAAGAATCTTTCTGGTTGCAGTGTTGAGAATGGTTTAGACCAAGAGAAGCAATTAGGAAGCTGGGAGACCAGCACACATGTAATTTGATTTTTTCTACTAACCATGTTTTAAAAAGTAAAAAGAAACAGGTGAGTTTAAGTAATATATTTAATTTAACCCAATATATGCAAAGTACTGTTTTAATATTCAATCAATATAAAAAACAATTAGAGCCCTGGCCGGTTTGGCTCAGCAGTTAGAGTGTTGGCCCACAGATCGAAGAGACCCGGGTTCGGTTCCCGCTAAGGGCGCATACCTCTGTTGCAGTTTGTCCCCGGCCCCGGTGGGGTTGTGTGGATGGTGGCCAGTCGGTGTGTCTCTCTCACATGGATGTTTCTTTTTCTCTCTCTCTTCCTCCCTCTCTCCCTCCCGCTCTATCTGAAGGTAAATGCAAAAATGTCCTCAGATGAGAATAAAAAACAAACAAAACAACTAGAGATATTTTACATTCTTTTCCCATGCTAATGCTAACTCTTTGAAGTCCAGTGTGTGTTTTTTTTATTTTTTATCCTCACCGAGGACATTTTTTGATATTTTATTCAGATAGAGGGGGAGGGAGAGAGAAACATCCACGTGACGTGAAAGGGACACATTGGGTAGTTGCCTGGGCTGGGGACAAACTACAACCGAGGTACGTGCCCTTAGTGGGAACCAAACCCCGGTCTCTCCAGACTGCAGGCCGACACTCTAACCGCTGAGCCAAACCGGCCAGGGCTCAGTGTGTTTTTATATAGCTCATTAGCCACATGTGGCTCATGGGGACCATATTGGACAGTGCAGATATAAAACATATATTCCTTCACTGGCTGGTTTGGCTCAGCGGTAGAGCGTCGGCCCTCAGACCAATGAGTTGCAGGTTCGATTCTGGCCAAGGGCATGTATCTCGGTTGTGGTTCATCTCCAGCCCTGGCTGAGGTCGTGCAGGAGGCAACCAGTCGATGTGTCCCTCTCACATCGATGTTTCTCTGTCTTCCTTTCTCTCCCTCTCTCTCCCTCTCTCTCTATCTGAAGATAAACAGAAAAAAAAAAAAATTAAAAAAACAAACAAACAAACATATATTCCTTTACTCATTCAACCAAGCAAGGTCTTGTTCCGGAAATATACAGAATGGAATAAAGCCCAATCTCTGTTCTGAAAGTGAACACAGGTCAGTTAGGGAGACTAATATAATAGCTTGTGCTGAAGATTGCAAAACAAAGTGCTTTAAGAGGTTGAGTTGGGAGTATCCAGAGGAGGGAGGCTTCAGAGAGGAGGGACATAGAAGTTGGGATTTTAAGTATGTGTGAGAATTCTGTGGGGAAGAGCACTCCAAGCAGTGAGAACTGCTTATGCAAAGTTCCAGAGAAATGACATGCAGAGTGTCTGGGGAGATATAACCATTCTTTTTTTTTAAATTTCTTTCTTTATTGATTTTAGAGAGAAAGGAAGGGAGAGGGAGAGAGAGATAGAAACACCGATGAGACAGGACATCGATTGGCCGCTTCCTCCATGCTCCCCACTAGGGATTTAGCCCACAACCTGGGCCTGTGCCCTCGCCGGGAATTGAACGGGCGACCTCTTGGTGCATGGGTCAATGCTCAACCACTGAGCAACACCGGCCAGGCCATTCTTTAATGGCTGGATTGTAGGGTATGAAATGGGAGGGTAGAGGGTGGGGAAAGACAAGGGTCTTATAGACCAGTCTATGGATTTGTAGCATTTGTCCCGTTTATTAGTGATGGGGAGTATTGAGACTTTTAAGCTGCGTGTTATGACTAGATCTGTGTTTTAAGCAGATCATTCAAGTAGTATGAAAAGAGTAGAAATAGGTAGGAAGACCCATTAAGGAAGGGAAGGGACTCTAGGATAGATCCAGGAAAGACCCATAAAGACTGAGAAGAGGGTCAGAGAAAAAGGAGGGCAAAGGGCAGTTCACAGTGTCCCATGCAGTAGAGGTCAGGTAGAACAGGACATGCAAACCTTACCATCCATCCCAAAGGCTGGGTAAAAATTTGCTGGCCCTCCAGAATTCACGGAACAGCAAAGGGTTTGGGAGCTAGTGGGAGCTAAAAATTTATTGAGATAGAACTAGGTTCAAGTCTTGGGCCACATCACTGTATGGCCTTGTTCAAAAATACTTACATTTTCTAACCACAAAATGGGAATAGTGCCAGCTTCATAGGGCTGTTTCAAGGATGGCATGGCTTACTGAAGTTAGGTCACTTTACACGACGCTTGACAAGTGCTGGCACTCAGTACAAATGGTAGCTTTATTATGATTTGCTATCTTTTGAGTGCTCTGGGCCTCAATTCCCTCTCTCACAAAAAGAGCTGTCATCTCCTGCTTGCTGTTAATAGGAATCAAAGAATAAATGAAATGATTGAATTGTGTTTGCACTTAAAGCTGAAGGCAAATGTTCCCCCAAAGATTAAACATGATTCACCATGACTTCTACTCCTGGGAATATGCCCAAGAGAATGGAAACATGTACACATGAAACCTGTTCACAAGTGTCTGCAGCATTTGTTCATATTCACAGCATGAATGTTCACATTCACTAATGCCAAAAAAGTCAAAACACCCATCAACTGTGGTCTATCCATACATCAGCATATTATTTGGCCATAAAAAGGAATGAAGCTCTGACACTCGCTACAAGAATGAACCTTGGAAACGTGATGCTTGGTGAAAGAAGCCAGGCACAGAAGACCACATATTGTAGATCCATAGAGACAGAAAGATTAGTTGCTGCCTAGGACTGGGGGGGAAACTGGGGGAAATGGAAGGGGATGACTGCTAACAGGTGAGGGTTTTTCTTTTTCGGGTGATGAAAATGTTCTAAAATTGATTGTCGTAATGTTTGCACAACTCTATGAATATAGTTAAAGCCTTGAATTGTACACTTAAATAGGTGAATGTGAATTATATCTTAAGCAGTTACCAAAAATAAAAAACAGGGAGACTGTACCCAACGCAGCTCGGAGGAATTCCGACACGTGATGAAACAACGGAGCCAAGGCAAGCACCTCTGCAGAGATGGCTGGTCTTACCCGTGTTGTTTGCTGTAAAGCCTCATGGGGCACATCTGAGACCAAGAGCCCACGACTGTCCCAGGAGGTGTCTTTGGTAGTCTTGCAGTGCAACTGCTTGTGTCACCATTTCCTGGAGAATGTTCACTTTCTACAGACACCTCTCCTCCACACACATGCACACACGTGACTTTCCATGTCACCTGTCTCCTCCCTGGCCTTCAAGACTCACA